ACCCAATATATATTCCAGTTCCCGTATCGTTCCAAAGAAAACCCCGAATAATGGAACTGATCCCCGACCCCTCGCCGAGGGCGTGGGCCAGGATCACAGCAACAGCCTCGCACCCAGCCCCAAGCTGGTGCCGGCTGGCGAGCTTTCTGAACCTATTAAGCTGCTTTCTATTTGAAAATGTCCTAATCGTGAAACATTCTACAGTTAACATTCCTTTTCATGATTTTAGGCCTCTAGAGGCCATGCCGAAACCCCATTGTAGTGCCTGTGCACTACATGTGCACTACACCACCCGCAGGAAAACGGTCAAACTGAAAGCACCAGCCGCACGCTAGTGCAGTATTAGTGACTCCACGCCAGCAATGTTAATCAAAGTGGATGGACTTTCTTCCATGAGCGGATAAGTTTATAGTACAATAGTGCATTCTTCTACCCGTTGCTCTCCGGCATTCCTGTTTACCAAAAACATCGCCGTCTGAACCAGCAGTTGAGGAGTTCTCTTCGCCTGACTGCCTCTTCTATTGAGGGGACAGGAGTATACCGAAACGGTCCATGGATACAGGCCACTACGCGGGGACTGAGCGGGCATGCAAAGCAAATGAAAACGGTGTATTGCATTGTTGCTTTAGGGTAGCGTGAGGTTTGGTGAGAAAGAGGAGATCCCGCTCTCTGCGATTTCCCAGCATAGCGTCCGGAGAGAGCAGCTGCCTCTGCACAGCAGCGGCAGGGAACGTTTTCTGGATGCTGCTCCTCAGTCCTCTAGGCAACGGGTCTAGGTGTTTAGTCTTGGGCCCCCATGTATCTCCATCAGTGGATACACAGGGTATTTCAGAAGCCCAACACGCTTGGGTTCCCCTTTTCATAGATGCAGAAGCCTCTGCTTCCTGTTGGAGACCTAGACGGTTTGGAGCTGTGCCACTACTGCACGCATCAGCCGACTACCGTATCTATTGAGCCTAAAACGTTCAAGTAGTAGGCATCGCCACTTGAGTTTAAGCAATGCCCACGCCGTAGTAGCCGTTTCTAACTCGAAGATGTAGTGCAGAGCATTACAATTTCGCATTAGAACGGCGTTGTGGTGCTTGCCACCCGCAAAGCGCGGCACCCGGAACGACGCGGTATGGGGCGCCGCCGGGGATTCGGCGTATATTGCCAGGAACACCGTTAAAGAAGCAAAAAAAAAGCAGTTTCGATACTGAAAGTCAAATCAAACTGAATTCTGAATTCTCAGTTGCAATGATTTAGGAGCGTACGTTCCGTGACAGCGCTTGGAATAGCTAGTAGGAGCCTATCCGGGTTAGGCAAGGAAGGCGACCGTCTCCCATGCGTTTCCCCACGCAGGCGAGATACTGATACCCAGTCGAGTTGTCGGTCTCCTGGCCAATGGAGAAAATTTTGTTTTGTCTAGCTTCTGCGCGTTGTTATCGTTAAACCCGAAGTTCATGATAGACGGCCAGCAGGTGGGGAGATAGGTAAGCTTTACTAGTTTCACCCCGCGCGATGACGCGCGCGCTTTCTCCTTTACCTTGCTGCCTGATCTCTTTGCGCATTATTGGATATGTGGCAACGACTCGAATATATGGTTAACACTAGCGCTGGATATTGAACTATATGCCTAAACGAGAGGGAAAATGAGTGTAGGAAGAATTGAGCACCGCATCTCGGGGTTCCGCACTGACCAAAGGATCAACTGGGCTGCTAGCCATCAGGACAGTAGGCCTATAGTTTGGCTGGAAGAAGAGAGTGTAATGTTTTCCGTGTCACTGGGGGAGTGTTATTCTAAATATCGGGATCGATGAGCGTCCGTTCAAGTAATTAATCAGGACACTCTTATTGTGAGATGAAAATGGCCGCATTAACTGAGTTGCGTCGACTTCTGATTAAACGGAAACTGGCAATGAAACTACATCAGAAGTATTATTGAAAACTCTGCTTGTAGCTAGCTTTGGGAAGCAGAAAAACACTTGTCCTGTAGTGTCCCTGTCATGGCTGTCTTGGCTTTCCCTCTAGCCCGCTTGCCTGGCTGATATTAACTTAGAAGATGCGGTCGAGCATTTTTGCGGTGCATGCGTGTCGCTCCCGATATTTGCCCTATAAAGGGGAACCAAGCTAGTTCTTTACCTTTGTCCCAAACACTTAACTCGGCCTTCAGCGATGGAAGTGAGCCAGTTGCACGCCCTCTGATTCCTGCCGTAAAGCTGCCGCTCGTTCTTGGCCTTCCTTAATGAAACTTTTGCACTTTTCACAATATGTCATAGTTCAGAACTCGACCTCCCCAATGTTTCCCATACCTTTTAAGCTTGCAGTAGACTCTGATAGCCGAGACGTCGACGTTCGCAAAAACCAACTTATCAGGAAGCCCATCTACTTACAAATGGTACTGAAATCCCACTTATTTGAAACCTCCGGGCAACCCCGGGCAGTTTCAAGTGCTTGGCTACAGTAAAGTTTCGTGGTTGCTGCAGCGCTCCTCAAAAGCCTTGCAATTCCGATTCCCATGAATTTCGACTACATACTTCTCTGGAATAAGCCTCCTAAGCACCGGTTTCGCGAGTGGAGTCCAGTGGGAGAGAGGGAAAGAAGGTTAACCAGGTTCACAGTGGTAGAGTCCTTGTAGTCCACTGCCTGGCCACGAGCCAAGCAAACTGATTCTGGGTTGCCGCCTGTCCTAGGAGAGTAAGCAGCATACTCTGAAGGTGAGAGCTCCACAGATTTAAAATCTATTAATTATGGCTGAGTGTTTGACCAGAATTGGTGCTAAATTGGGGGGTTTCTAACACCTAGACATGCTTGGACCAGCGCCCTAGCGCGTGCATGCGAAACGTCCTTATGGGTATGATGGCTCATCTCTCCTCCTCCGCTGGTGCCCTTTTGCAGTTGGCTTTGGGTTGGCGAGTTACTTCTCCCGCCATTTGAGTTGCTGAGTGCTTTCCTGGTTTATCTTCACTTGAATGCCATGCGAAACACCTAGAATTTCTGTCGCATGTGGGTGTTCCGTACCTCCTGCTGCACCCTTTCTATATGCGGCCATGAGAGGCTAACATCCTAGGGCCTTCCGGGTTCATGCACAATGAGCAAACGGAGCGATGAGAAATAGCACCGGCTAAAGATCAGAAAAATCACTTGTATCAGCATCACCACAAGCAGAAGTGGCATGGATATAGGATTGGAAGCTCAAGTATTAGCGTTTGGAGTTTCGGTTTGTAAATCACAATGGGGGAAGATACCAAATTCTGTCGCTTTGGTCTGCCCTGGCTCGACTGTATTGACTGCCACACTTTCTCCGCATGGAAAGAGTCTACACAATTGCTGAGATCTCTGACTGGCAAGTATACAACCTAGACGTTGACAAACAAATTCAAAGAACCTATCATCTGATAATCCTAATCCCCCTACCCTGATCCGCGCAACTGAACGCCAGCCCTACACCAGCAAGATGTCTCCCTTGGTTGGAGGAAAGCGAGGTCTCGAGGATGCTACTAAGTAAGCTCGAGTAAGTGATCCCACTGCGTGCATCCTATTTGGGGGAATTTCGTCGTACACAATCTTGCATCTTATTTCCCTGATATCCAGCCGTCGTTCTGTTGTATTGCTAGTGTCGCGATATACAGATTAGAAATATGCAGCTATTAGGCTGATCTCCCCCGAAAATTCCTATTGACGGGGAGGGGTGGCACCTCGATGTCGGCTCGTCGCATCCTGAGGCTGAAGTACGGTACTAGTTCACTATTGATTACTTTAAAGTATTTTATTTTACAAGGAGGTTCTTGTTTCTTCAATCAGAATTATTTTCTAATTTACTATTTAATAATAAATATTACATTTATTATCCCATTTCGCTCGCCACTACTTGGGGAACTTTTGTTAATTTTTTTCCTTCGGATACTGAGATGGTTCAGTTCTCCAAGTTTTCTTTTTAACCATTAAATACTTCTATAGAATATAATATATTATGTTTTTAGAAGATATATTTTTAATTAATTACTTAAAAAATCGTTTGTCCTTTTACATTTTTTGTTTTACCTAATTTTAATTTTAGTTAAAATTAAAATTTGGTAAAACAGATATGAACGTATATTGGTGAGTAGGGAAAGAAAAATACAAGTTAAAGGAGAACTTCACTTTGAATGGCAATGCGTGGAGTTATCTCCAGAATGCCGCCTGAGTGCTCGGGATGCTGCAGGCGGCGGCCAGCAGGCGACGCGCAAGGACTCCACCAGCTAGAAAAAGTCGAGGGGGAGGCCCGAGAGTCGTGTAATAAAGTGTATTAATGTACATTTAACCTAAGAAATTTAGAGGGATTGAAGCTAGTGTATTGGCTTTTGAAGTTAGGGGTGAAAGAGTTGGCAGTGCACAGGGGTGAGTGAGCAGGGAGATGACAGAAACGACGAAAATTTGGACTCAAAAATACAAAGAACTTCTCGAACCCTATTTAAATAACTTTTCTTCCTTGAATATTCGGAAAAGAGCCCCTTCATCGGTGGATATCGTGGGAAATCGCCAGCTCACGACCATCCGCCATGGGCGCTATGGACTGTCTTCTTGCAAGCTGTCCATCTAACACGGCGGCTGTCCGTGTCCAGCCATAAAACTACCACAGCAGTTTTCTTTAAATGTATAATATGTTATTCTATAAAGAATATTTGAACCTTTCGTCGACCTGTTCTATTTTCTTGTCCGACTGTGTCGGCGGCGCCGAGCGGTGGAGTTATCATCTCGAGGCGGGTGCCTCAGGCCCATCCGGCGTTGCTGAAAGTACCAGCCAAAGCTAGGAACTGACAACATTCTCCATTGTTATCTTTCTATATTTGTTAATCTTTATTTTTGATCTGACTGGGCCTCCCATTCGAGGCATTTGTATGGCAGAGCCGCTTCTTGCCTCCAGGTATACGCCGGCGGCTTGTTTCGAGCTGCAGGCCACAAGTCTGGCACACTTCTTCTTTCGTCCACAGCACACCTCTTTTTGAGGCGGTATACTTATTTGAATCAATCAACGGATAATGGAGCCCGTTCTTTCAGTGGGAAGGGGGCCCTCACGAGTCACCCGCCTGAGGACGCGGCTCTTCCCCGGTCTTGCACATCCAGAGAATGCCGAAACAGTCATCACCTCGGAACCCCCAATTGCCTTCGCAGGCCCGAAGGTGCTGATCTGTCGCAGACGCACTGGCAGTTCAACACAGACAACCGGCCCACTCAAAGCCATTCAAACTGCTTTCCGCAAGATAACGAGCAAACGGCGACAAGTAAACCAAGTGCAGCAACATCAGCTCGCAATCTCAGTCGACCCAACGTTACAAACTGAGTCGCTGTCCAACGCCTCTGACCCGCCGTGTGAGAGGTTTGCGCAGGAGCAGGACCTCGAGACCGTACCCTGTGACGATTGCAATCAGAGCAGTGCTGAACGCAAGACAGGTGCAGTGGCAGAACCACAGAACAACTCTCCTGCTGCTACGCCCACACCAGCTACAACACAAGGCATGAAGAAAGGTTTCGCGCTACCCCATGACTGCCCAACGATCATAGAAGGGGAAGAGTGGGGCTCTGGGGAGTGCAGCGAACCGGAGGAAGTACTCGCAAGGCCTAATAGCTACACACCAACATCAGCAGTTCACACATCTGTAGCAGAAGCCGCAGCCGCACTTGCTACATTAGAAACAACGGAGATTCATATGCACACTCCCACACTCGATGCTGCCTTCCTTCAGTCGGGGGCGCTTTTAGAAAAGGGATACCACAGCTGCTCAGCCCAAAGAGCACACAAGAACTGGCACGCAACTCTGATTGCTCCCTGGAAAGCAAGCAAAACGAACCTGTCTCAGTTGAGTGCTTCCCACTCTGACCGCACTCCTGAAGTAATTCATGAGAACCCGAAGTGCAGCTACTCACAAGACGTACAGCTAGCGAGTGGGCAGCCCAACAGAGCGTTTCCTGCGCCTGCGCAAGGCTCCTGTCTCCCAGGACACTGGACCGATGCAACAGGTCGAGCAGAGAAGACGACTGCTGCTGCAGCGGTGCCCCGTAACTCTTCCACAACTCATGCACAAGGACAAGGACCAAGGCAACGAGACGGGGAGAGAAACGGTGTGGGTTGTTCTTCGGTTATTGCCAGTTTCATGGAGAGGGTGGTTTCTATGATAGAGGGATCTGCCGCTGTGTTGAGCTCTTGCGGAACAGCAGACATCATTGATGAGAGTCAACTGGTGGTCTCAAGTGGCCGCATTGCCCGGGCCCGTCAGGCCTTACAGTCCGCCCCTAGAAACAACGCTGCAGCTATTCACAGCAGAGGCGCCCCCAGCCTCCAAATGCATCAACAATCATGCGGAGGTTGTGAAGATACAAATGTACCAAATGGTCACTCTGTTCCTGCCCAAGTCAAGCCGAACTCAGCTAGAGAACCAGATCATCAAAGTTGTAGTTCAGGCGGAGAAAAGAAATGGGAAGGCAAAAGCTGCGACGGAAACCAGGAGGAAAAGCTCCAAGAAGACTCCGTCAAAAGACTAGAAGAGAAGTTCCCTGGAGTTCCAGAAGAGTTTTCCTGTGCAGATAAGCAAGAAAAAGAAGAAAGCGGCCTGTCGAGCGTCTATCCGGGTGTTTCGCATAAAGATTCGACTTCAGCAAAAGTTAATTTGCCAGACGTTTCACTGGAGGAAATCAAAAAGCTTGATACGCTGCCAGAGGCCGCCATGATGAGGCTACGTGGCACATACATCATGGCGTGCACCGCCGAATGCGCTCGCTTGCACATTCAGCATTTTGAAAGCAACAAGGCGGAAGTAGTGAATATAGCGCGGTGTACAACGACTTTTGCTGGCCTTGATCAAATCAAGCATTCGAAATATCACAATACGTGGGACCAGCGGCCATCTGCAGCACGTAAGGCTGTCTCAAATGAATACCTTGACGCAGCCACAAAGACAGGCCGGTGCAACGCTAGAGCATGCAGCAGCAATCAGAAACTCTTAGTAGAGACTGCAGCAAATGCATCTCTTTGGGGCCTGTCATTTATACCTGCAGAGGACGAAACGGAAGCAGTGTCTCCCCTTCCTCCTCCTCCTTCTCCTCGGGCTGAAAAACGCACGACAAATGGAAATTTGAGTTTAGGCAGCTTGGCATGGTTTTCCAATGGAACCTATTTCAGCTGAATACACGTTTTACATTAATCGAGACACAACCGTGCTCAAGGAGCCTACCCCGTTATGCGTGCTCCGCACTTCCGTGAGACCCAGCACCTCTCTCGTCGCTTCCTCTCTCTTACTTAAAGCGGCGGTCAGCCTCAGCAGCAGCAACTGCGGCCCCACATAAGATCGGAACAGGAGTTGCATGCGCATTTGTATTTCGCGTAAAGCAGGCGGAAGGCAAGCTCTGAGGGGAGGGGGTAAAGGAGTAAAACGGTTGACGCACTAACAGTAAAACGAACAAATCGGCAAGCAAGCAGAGGAATGGATGCGTCGAAGAGCCGAAGTATACACCCAAATTATTTACGAAGGCAGCAGGTGACTTTTCTATTTGTCTATTTTACTGTTGGTTTTATATCCGTGCCGCTGAACAATACGAGAGCAAACGCCAACGGCAACAATAGTAATAAATATTGGCACAGCCAAAGAGCGCCAATAATCATAATAGCTGTTACAATTGAACTCATGAAGAAAACTTAGCGGCCTAACCGGTTTTCTGTAGAGAATCCTTCACTTTTTTACGTTTGTTTTCGAGAACCTGGAAAGAGCGGCTGGCAATTTAATTTTTCTGCGATATCACTAGCTGGTTTTCCCAGGTAGGCGCAAAGAGGGAGGTTATATATGCATGCTTCGATACTTATATGGAACCTGCATGCATGTTCCATAAATTCGAGTATATTGTATAAGCATGCACTAGTGCATGGATGTATCTGCACATCTGTGTACATAATGTATATTTGTATATATATATATATATATATAT